AACAATGGTTGGTAAAATCCTCCATACAGCCTTTTTGGTTAGATCAGGCGGGAAACAACTGAAACAGGTCCTGAAAAGCTATTTAACTGAAAAAGGTCCTACAGAGCCAAAGTGCACCAACCGCAAAGACGGTTACTTGAAATCAGGTAAGATAGCAAGAGAAACACTGGTAATTTAAACTATTTTTAAACATTATTTAATATAAAAATTATTGCTAGAATATAACCAAAAAAATGTCATATTTTATTGCACAGAAATTCGGATGTATATTTTTTTTTTCATCATTTCCTGATGTTTGATTACTTGATTATGTTATTTTACGCCATCGTTTTTATAAGGCTGCCACACCTTTTAAAAATCACTGGGCTCTGCTTACGTTCTGCTTCATATATCTTTATAGGTCACAATTTGTTTCACCAATGCAGTGAAATAACTCATTTAAATGTCCGACTCCACTGTTTTTCTTTTCAATTAGTCTCCTACTATAATTCCAAGACACAAGAAAAATCGCGGCGTAGAGCGTGTTTGAGCTGCCAAATAACGTCAGAGTCAAAATGTCTGAATGGAGCTCAAATCCTTCTCTAATTACAGCAATTCCCTTCCAAAAAATCTCCACCCTCTGTCTGAGTGAAAGCTACAGCGTGGAAATGACCACAGTGTGGAGCTCCCGTGGAGAGAAAGAAAGAAAGAACACATGTGGAAACACATACACACACAGGATGATGGACATCACAGTCCTTTTCATCCATCACACTTCCTTTTTTTTTTTTTTTGCTCCTTCCCTCTTCAGATTGGATATATTGGCCATTGTAGATAAAAGAAATACACCCAGATCTGTGTTGTTCAAAGATAGAAGGATTTGCCTCAGTGGAACACAAAACAAAAAGAGGAGTGAGCGCTCATCCTGAAAGTAAAGCAGCTTTGTTTGTGAACATATACAGAAGCCTTCACCTTACCATATCTTTACGTGTGCAGAAACACAAACACCATTATACAAACATATCTACCTCCAACAGACATGGTGTACAGCCTTCACACCTACCCACACAGCTCCAGTGCAGAGAATAGGAGATTTGCCCCATTAGTGCTGCCTAAAGGCACAGAGCCAGTTATTAGGTTTAGGAAAGAGACAGGTTGCTTTGTATGATTTTCTTTGAAGCAGATGAATTTACCATTTTACAAAAAGATAAACCAAGTAAAAACAAAATGATATTATCTGTTAAGAAAATGTATTAAGAGTCTTTACACTGCAAAAAAAAAGGAAAAAATCTTAAAGTGTGCAAATACTTTTTGTTGCTACATGAGGAAAAACAAGAAATTTCTACCATATATTTCTTTCTCTTTCCAATTGATTGTATTTAGGTTCAAATAATTAGAACAGACAGTGACTTTCAACTTATGCAGGAAGATGTAATCTGTTGCTTTCCCACACCACATGATTAGAGGAAACTGCGTTTACCTTTGTGTAACAAAGGGGCTGGGATGCTTCATCCTAACTAGAACTAAGAGAGGAAACCCTAAATCCTGTTTTAATTACAAGCAGATCCTCGATTGTTGCCTGCAAACCACAAAACACCCTGCATGGGTCGTAGTGTTAAGCCCCACCCTGTTTGGTGAAGAAGAATCCATCAAGAGAATTCCAAGAGCATCAAATCCACCCTCTATCACGCAGACATCATGTTGAAATCCTCCTATTATCCAGTGAGGCAAACCCAATCCCACTGCAGCTCTCACAACGTTAACACATGCAGCTTTATACGGTCGATGAAGAACTACATAAAATCTATAGTGTTTAAAATTCCAACAGACATGAGCTTTGGTCTGTTGTTCAAAAATATCTGTTTATTCAGCCTGTCGTACCTTAAAGCGAGAGAAGAAATGGAAAAACGGACCTACTGAGCAGATTTGGCCAATAAATAGTTGAAATTTAATTGACTTGTGGGCAACTGTTCTCATTTATGATAAGGCTCTGTTGAACCCATCAACAAGATTTTTCCAACGTCCGACCCCATGGATCTCACTCTGGTTAACATATCCGCCCAGGGCAAAGAAATTGCTGGTTAGGTTGGGATCTGGATCTGGGATTTGGGCCATCTGAAGACCACAGGCACTTCCAAATCCTGCAGGAGGGGTCGATGCTCACAATTAGTCAGTCATAGAGGATGTCCTTGGTTTGCAAAATTCATATGCCAAAAAAATGTTTCAGAGATGTTGCCAATAGACAAGAAGGAAATAAATCCAAAGGAAATAAAATGATATCCCATCTGGAACCTTGCAGCTTTAGTTTCTGTTTAGGAAAACTTTGCTGTATTGATGGCACTAAAACAAACACGGTTCTCATTCTCGGTTTCTGCAAGTTTCTTTTCAACCAACACTTGTAAGAATGCAGCAGGAAGACAGTTTAAATCTGGCGGAAATAAAAACAAAACACATGAGGTTCCCCTTACCCTTTTATCGCAAGACTAAATGAAACCTTGTATTTACTAATCAATGAATTAATAAGATTTATAGCTATTAACATAGGATCTAATCTATTTTTTTTTGGGGGGGGGGCTGCAATATCTCTGCATACCCCTTAGAAAAATAGGTATTTGCATCCATAAACAAAAGTGTGACTAATGAATCAAATAACAAAAGTATACCAAAAAAAAGGCAACTTGCAGGTTGTATCAGTAGTCCAATGCCAATCCAAAGACAATTCAAAGGTTTGAAAATGTCTCACAAGGCGACTTAGAGCAGTGAAGTAGTGAACATCAAAATAATTTATTCTAGTGTTAAAATGAGGTGGACTTTCTTCTTGGTGCTGAATTTCTTCTTGCTTTGCTCAGACTGCAATGGTATGTCCACAAAAAAAAAGCTATTCCCCCACTGCCCAATTTTGTTTGGGCATGTCTAGAAATCTCCATGAGTGCCTATTTTCTCACCTTTATCGACCCACAGACCTGAAAAGGAGTGTGAATGTATCCTAAAGTACAAATCACAAACCAATTATATTTGTTTATAGTAGGGATATATATTGATTTCAATAATATTGCTGTGAATTGACTTGAAAATATCACTTTCTTCTCATTCAACCAACTCTGTTGTAAAAGCATAAACCCTACCCCCAGGACACAGTTTGAGAAATGTCAGCAAAATGGGCAGCAGGAGGATAAGTGTGGGATAGGGGAGGAGGTTTAAGCAGGGTGTGGTCAAGACTGAGGAAAATTACCATGAACTTGACTAACAACTAACAAATAATCTAAGCATCTAAATTTAAATGCTATGCTGACTCATTGGTAATAAAATGCTCACCTTAAAAAGGTTTTAAATCCATGTTTGACTTCAAAGTTATTTCTTAATGAGATGGTTTTATGGTGCCTTCCATTTGTATCTGGAAGTCTTAATACCATGTGGAACTGTTTTGGTCAATGCTATGGTTGTAACAGCGGCCATAGTGGAAAATGAAGAAAACAATGAAGAATATGAACACCAACAAGCAAGAAACTGGAATGCTCATATAACATACTGTTATACCCAATGGCATGGCTGTGACTAGGGCTGAAACAATTAATCAGTTTATTAATTATTAATTGATTATTGAAATAATCTTAATTCATCGTTAAATTGAGCATAGGGACTGTAAAACATGTCTTTAGTTGACAGAACTACACACTCAGAGCAGTAATTATATCAATATTGTAAAATAATATGTAAACATTTTACATTTAAGATATAAAAAAATGTTTTCTTCTGTCAATATGCTGTATCCAGAATCCCACAAGGGGAAAAGTTTTAGTTTCAGCTGGTTTAATTTCGTACAAAAATCTTCTTTGAGGAACATTTGGAAGTCTAAAAATAATCGACAAATTTATCAATTTGCAAAATAATCATTAGTTGTAGCCCTAGCTGTGACATAGACATATATACCTATATTGGAGAATTAAATGTCAAACATTTGCACTGTCACAATGCCACAATTAGGGTCTAATTTATACAATTTATTTACAAACAAAAATTTTTGGGGGGTTTTGTAAGCAGTACAGAATGTCCCTACCTCTCTATAAACTATCTCAACTATTAGAGATATACATTTGGTTTTGCTGTTAGAGTCCAGAGAGTTCATCAAACTGGCCAAACGTATAGTCAACACGCAAGTAAAGAACACAACTTATTAAAACATAACTTTGAAAAACATTGTATTCATAGGAACTATGATATTACACCCACTTTAATAACAATTATCATTCAAACGATTGTGCAGCTCTCAAATATTAGAATGAAAGGAATTGTTTATGCGTGTGAAATGGATGTAGAAAGTGTAGAAATGGGAACTCAGAGGCATTTAATGGGACAGCTAATTGGCTATTTGACCCAAACCCAGAGACGCTTAATCCAACAATGTTTTCATGAGATCAGTTTCACAAAGCAGACCTTCAGATGAGCAAAATAATCATTACAAAACCTGCAATAGTATGAAATCAACCCAAAATCCAAAGCTATTTCTGTTTGTCCTTAAATTACTGTACCAGGTTCCTGCAGTAAGATATATAAGATACAGATTTATTCAGCTTTACTAAATTTCTGGAATGCTTTTTTGTTTTAATCTATAAAATAGTCTAATTATTGTTTTCTTGGTGTTTGCTTCCCTTCTGTTCACGTCAACTGCAAGTACAGCTTTCTTGAACACAAAAGAAACCTGGAGGCAGTAAATATGTAAATATTTCATCTGAAAGCCATTATTATAAAGTTAACTTTGTAAACAATGATGTGAATACATTTTAAAGTCTAAAGAGACCTCATGCTGAGAGGACAAGGTGTAACAGTTCATTCATTAATGGTGCAAAGGTGCAAAAGAGACTGAAAAACAGGTAGAAGAGCACCATGCTGTTTAATTTCTCTCCTACTAAAGCATAGTGCTGGTATAAAGGAGAGAATCCACAGTAAAAGCATAAAAAAATGAGAAAAAGTTAAAATGTTTTCTGGGTTTAAGAAAAAACAAAGCACATGTTGCCTCTTACCAGAGTATGTAAACTGTAGCCTTGGCTGCGCTGCTCTCCACGCTCCTGTCAGAGTGCTTCCAAGGTGGGCAACCAGGACTGCTGTCAGCAGCCAACACATCTTCCTCCTCATCACGGACAACCTGACAGATTCAGAAAACTCACTCTGCTCCAGAGACTCTCCTTCCTCAACCAAGTCCTAAAGTCTTAACTGCTAAGATGCTTAAAAAAACCAAAGTTTGAATCCTTGAAGAGTTTAAGTCTCTAAGATACTGAATCCAAACACTTTAACAGTCCAAGTATGTCTGTCTCTCCTGCATCCAGATCCATAAAATAATCCCCTGCTTCTTCTACGAACGGCACCCACACCCGTCTGTGTATTTGTGTTTACATGCGTGTGTGGGCTTCAGAGATGAAGAGGAGAATGTATTCCAAGAAAAGACTGAGGCGTCTCTCCGCTGCCTCCTCACAGCCTGACAGCTCTCTGCTGTTCATGTGTTGCCCAAGCTCCCCTCTGCATGTGCTTTTTCTCTTTCTCTCTGTGGAAGGCGGAGAATGAAGAGATCCCAGATCTTTGTGACCACCCAGCATACACACACTCACACACACACACACCCCTTCATGTGGACAAGCTTGGCTATTCAGTTTTCTGGGAAAACCTAGTTAAAGTGGAAATGAGAGAGACAAATTAGCTTTAATCTTTATTCACATCTCTCTTACTGTTTTTTTTCTACACTTCTTTTACTCAACCTCTCTTTATTAATTATTTTCATTCTCTGTGTTATCTATAATGATACGAATGAATATATGTGCTTGGAATAAAAGCTTGATATAGAGACATAAACAAATTACTATCACTGTACAAACTGGATTTGTAATAAGTTTCTATAAGTATAAAGTTTTGCCCTGTCGTAGGAAAACTTATTATGTTATTTAGGACACTAGTATTTCAGAGCTTTTTGCATGGCAAAAAATAATAATAATAGCAGAATACTTTACTTTTATGTAAAAAGGAAATAAATCAGCCTCATAATCTATGTTGGTTTGTACCTTCCTAAGTAAAAGAATAGGGAAACTCATGGGTTGCTCCCAAATTACAGCAAAATCCCTTTTCTAAGATCTGTGTCTTTCTTTCAGCTCCACACTATGTTTCTAATTATTTCCTTCCACTGCTAACCCACATGCATTCATTAAAACTTTTCTCTCATTCTCTTGTTTTCTTTAGATACCAGCTCACTTGGGTTACTTGATCTCAGGCTGAATTTTTCACCAACTGAAGATCAGTTACAGGCTAGTGGGAACAATTTATTCGTTCTCTGGAATAAATAATGAATTTAGGTTGCCTGCAAATTAAGTAGACGCTCCCACTGAGGAGTTATGGATTTGTAAATGATTTATTTTGCAGGGGGTTTTTTTATTGGGTAATTAGAGATTATTTTTTAATATGTAAATATGTAATTAATATGAATATTATTATTTCACTTAACTTTTTCAGAGCTTTATAGGGGTTTTTGGTCACTTTGACAACTGCAGCTAAAACTGCTTGTTAATGGAGTAATTAAATTACTATGCAAGGGAATAAGTTGCCACATGGTCCAATAGAACAACTAACGCTCCCCCAGGGAAGGAGCTCAGTGGTTTAAAGGTGACCTTTTGGATGATGCCGCAGCTGCTTGCCTTGGTAACTGAGATTAAATGATATTCTTTGCAGTAATGAGGGGGGAATTCAATTGCAGTTCAGTTAAAGTCAATCATCTCTTTGGGCTTTTGGGTAGTTTTGTATAATTTACAGAATCGCTGTGATCTGTGCAACCAACTAATGATTTTAGAAGTGCTTACCTCCTGCTACGTCTGATGCAGTCTCACCTGCTGCATATTCCACATTTTTAAAGGTTTTCATCAAGCTTTAAACTGCTAATCTTTAAACTGCTAAGCTTTAAACAGTAATAAGGTAATTCTAATTTGTCTTTTAAAGTATATTAAAGGACAATATAAAAGCTGAATCCAAATTGTTTAGCCTTTCTGATCTGAAAGTTGGTTTGGTTTACAGAGAGCCCAGTCAGTCACATAACTGCATCACCAACTCATGTTGTAAATTTTGGAATCCTTCCTTTGTTTTTTTCACGATCTCAGTGCATGGGGTCAGTTTAACGAAATGTATCTCAGTATTCCTGCAAACACACACTATTGGAACATGGAGTAGTGAAAAAATGAAAGTTAAAAAGTAACTAAACCCAAAATAAAATCTTTTTATGTAGAGAGACTGAATAAATTGAGCCTTAAGTGTGTTATCTTTCTGATACTGTGCAGATTATGACATCTTAGAGTAAACTTATTTAAACTTGTTACCCAAACCCATGGAAAACCTGGAACCTGCAGTTAAATTTCCTAATTGGTTAAAACAGAACAGCTTGTTACGTGTCTACGTCCCAATTAGGCATTCGGTTATAAAGGTGTGTGCTACTTACCTCGGATCTCAGAAACTGGGAAGTCACAGTGATGTAATCTCCGATGTGCATGCCCGCCCGGTTTCCTGTTTGCTAATATTGGTATTCCCAGTTTGGGACAAAAACATTGTTTGTTTTTTTTGTCCTAAAATTTGTAAATTAACAACCTAGTGCTAACATTAAAAATTCCGACATAAACTATACCAGAGTCTGAAAGCCAAAATGACTGGAGCTCCCTCACATCCTGGAAAACTGCAAAGATGTCTTCCAACTCTCTCAAAAACTGAAAAATGTTGGTCTGTCATCTGTTTTTTGGGTTGTTGTTTTTGTTGGGTTTTTTTTTGACTGTCTGGCTATTTTCCACTCTCTACTATGCTCCTCTCAGCTAATTAGAGTGAAGATGCACCTGGATCTCTGCTAATCATTCTCATTTATCCCAGCTGTTATCCTACCTCTCGCAGTCTGTCTGGGCCAGATTGTCGAAAGCCACAAAGCCAATAGCTGTCCAGCGTTCTTGTTCCGCATTGCCTAATTCCCAACCAGGACTCTTGCACTGCCCTTTAGAACCGGCCAGCCTGTCATCTCCAGCTGTGTCTGCATGTTTTGCCTTCTGCTCCTCTTTGGACGTTACCTGCCTCTACCTGGATTTTGTCAATTCATTCACATTTTTTTTAAATAACATACCATGTCTGGATTGAATATCAGCTTCTCTGAAGCCAAGCTGGACAAAAACTTGCTTGCTAAATCTCTGCACATTGATCTTAAATAGCTAGTTCAGTGGCTAAGATTAAGACTTTTCTCTCAATAACAGCTTCCAAATAGAAGAGTGTTTTTGTTACACCAACTCACTAATCAGGAAAACTATAACTGGCCGGTCCCTGTTAGTACCCATTAAGCTGAAATAGTCTGTTTTATCCATCGGCTGAATCTTTTTCCAAAATCTTGACTTATGGAGTTCATTTCCCAGACGAACAGGCTTTAAATGCAGAATATAATTATGGATTGACAATATATGTGGACACACTTGAAAAGGAGATACAGGCTTTAATCAAAATGCAAACTTTTATAGAAAAAATAGGAACCTGTCTCTTGGTAATAAAAGCCAAGAACAACCTGTCAGTCACTGCAGGTAATTCATTTTTTAAAGAGCTCTTTAGGTTGTTACTCTTTTCTAAACTATTTAGCCCAGTCTGATAAGCGCTAAAGCAGTACTTGTGGTATTGCATGACATCGTGCAATAATAGATTAGTGTTACAAGAAATATGGCTGGAGTGATAGTGTATAATGTGACTCAATCAGTCATTGAACATCTGGTTAACAACCTGCTAGTCTCCTCTAACTATACAGTGCTGTTTTAGAAGAACCCTATCAAGCTCAAATGGTTGAATAATACCTCAATAAAAAATGTCACCATTTACTTAAAAATGGTTATAGTTAAACCTGAATAAAACTCAAAAACTTTTGGGAAATTTTGAAAAAAAAAAACACTCATTATGACGTCCACCTTTGTGCAACGGCCCCAACAGACTGATGGAAATCTGTTAAACTCGCAGGCCATTAAGAGGGGATAATTTGAAGCTCGTTGCCAACCTCATCAGTCCGCTTGTTAATTACAGCCAATGAATGCCCAGTGAACATGAACAAAAAAGCCTCTGGTTCTGGTCAAACAAGTGACCTAAATTAGTCAATTAGCATTGAAGCCGTAGCTGTTGTTCCCGTTGTGGCGAGTCTCAGATCCCGCCGCTGCTTTTCTCTTATAACCACATAAACATACACACTCACTTCCATTAGCTCATGTGCATCCCCTGTGTTTCATAGATAAAGGCAGAATAGGACAGTTAATGAGTCTTCAATGCTATCTTGTTGCGCTGTTTGTTTTCTGACCTTACATGACCAATTCACAGTTCTCAATTAGTGGTACTACAGTTCTTGGAGGTAAATATTTTTATAGTAAACACTTCTGATATTGTAAGTTATTTATATCTCAAAATGCAGTTAAATTAAGAGTAATAAATGATTAAGACAAATATCTTAATCAGTGCTTTTTTATTATTTAGTTTTTTGTCCAACAGAAACACACTTCAAAAATTCAAATCCAAGTTTTTCCTAAAATAAATGCATTTGATAATTTGAGGCAAATACATAATTTTACAACTTAAAAAAGTCCTTTTCATTCAAAATAAGAAAAACAAAACTTTTTTTTTTACGGAAATGCATAATATCTAATAATGTTATGTAACTTATGAGAAAATAGATTCATTCTAATAGCAGATCATTAAATTTACCTGTCTAAGGGCAAATACACTTACTTTAACAATTTTTTGCTTATTTTAAGATCATTTTTACAGTGCATTATTATACAAATGCGCCATAATTATGTTTCCTGTTGAGTTATTCTTTATCATCCTTTATCTTAATTATATCATTTAAATGTTTTCAGGAATTTGGATGCTCTTTACTGAATTACGAAGAAAGACATTATGATTATGATAGAATATTGAATTTCAGGAGCTCTGAATATCTTCTCTGTGCTGCACATTAGATTTATGTAGGAGGCCAAATATGCACTGTAGTCATACGCATCCACTGCAGGCAGAAAGGGTCTATGAAGCAAAGCTTTGCTGAGTTATTCTGATAAAAGCTACAAAGAGATGCCACCTCTATGGAAGCATTTTCTATCCAGAGCTTCAAAAGTATGCCAAAAACAAATGTGGACATGCATGAGTGGTATGCTTGTACATTTGCAAGTTACCCATGGTAACTGATGCACCCCCATAACAACACAGATGCTCGTTTTAGCACCTTTTACTGATGGAAGCATGGTTGATCTTTCTTATCTTGGATATATAGATTCAAATGTTAATTCTTACTACACAAACAAATCTGAAATACAGACTCACTTTTTCTGAAGCCTCTTAGTAAAGATTATAAATTTGTTTATTTTTCTCTTAGGCTGCTACAAAACATGTTACAATCACTGGATCATTTTGAACACTCATTGTTCTTTAACACATTCCCAGTCCATGAGGTTATGTTTATCACACAGAGATTT